CCAAAATGCTGACCTTCATTCAGTAAGTTGTCAAATGCCACATGGTACAGGCATTCACATGAAAATTTATTACAACTCAGGAAGTCTAGAGTAAAAATTTTACGCTGCTAAAAACTGTGGAAAAAGTTACTCACTCCTTATGAAGGGCTAACACGACACTGGCAATACATAAACTAGTTGTAGGCCTGTAAGCAGGGAATGTGGAGAGTCACTGTTCATCCAGAAAGTCCTTATGCACAAAGATACAAATGAATTACTACAGCTGGAAACCTCTTTCCCCTTCCTCAGAGACCTTCTCATCATTGAACTGTGAACTGAAACAAAGCAACAGCTTTTGGAGGCAGAAAAATCAGTGTCAAAAGTTTAACCCAAGTCTTGGCCAGTGAAAGAGCAGGTCAGCAGCAGCAGTATCTGTCGTCATGTGTGACCACAGCTCCTCTGTCACACGGGCAGAAGAATCTCCCTCTTTACCACATCTCACAAAAGTACAAAGTGATGTTGTGTACAAGTCATAAATGTTTGTGTAAAAACACAAACTTCACCCTCTGTTCTGCTCTCAACTTCTCCCTTATTTCTAAGACAAACCCACCAGCATTTTCCCTGGTGCTAGAGGAGAAACCGCAGCCCCAGCCCAGCAGGTTTTTTCAATCAGACAGTCTGTAAACACCCCGGACATCAGAGCCCAGCTCACCCAGGCAGGAGAAGCTCCCCTCACCCCTGGGAGGAGCCGCCGCATCCAGCAGGAAGGGCGGCAGGAAGCTCTGCCACAAGCAGGATGGAGACTCTCTTGTTTTCTTTCCCCATGATGTCAAATCCACAGCCACATCAGCGTGGGCATACCCCGGGTTTCAGTTTAAGAGCAGTGGCTTGTCTCTGCTGACGTCAAGGGCCTGCTCAGTGGGTGTCTGCAGGATGGGGCTGCCAGCGAGTCCCCTGAGCAATAGCAGACTCTGGCTGTGGGCAGGCTGGGAGGCAGCTCCACGCACAGGGTGACAGTGCCAGCCACCATGAGACACATCTGCCAGGGCTGTAGTTTGGGGAAAAAAACTGTCACTATCAGGGCAAACATCTGCCAGCCTTGCACATTTCAGCTGCAGCAGGAAACATGGTAATTGTGTCATCTGTTTTCCACACTGACACCATGACATACCCAGCTAAAGAAGATAAAAGAAGCTTGGAGAGTCAAGACTGCAGGGACCCACGGCCATTTTGATTTAAGCTTATTCCATCTAAATAAAAATAAGTGTTATGAATGATGAATGTTCCTCCCCTCACCCCAATGTGCCTACTGTCAGGCTCCATTTCCCTCCTTCCCGCTGCACTTCTGTATTTGTGTAGCTCTCTCCCAGGGTGATGCTTGTAGGAAACAAAAGAGCAGAGAAACTGTACAGTTGGGTGGTCAGGATGCAAAGGGAGGTGAGCTCTGGAGGAGCTGTGCTGCCACACAACAGCAATCCTCTGCTGCCAGCCTCTCCCACCCTCTCCTCCACCTCCCCTCATTCTCGTCCTTACCTCATAGGACCAGACACACTGCACTCCCGCAAACCTCCGTACGCATCTTCCCACTTCCACGTCCTCGTGGGTGGTGTACATCTCCCGCAGGCACTCGCCAATGTGGGGCACCATTCTCCGCAGGACTTCTCGGCTCATGATCACTCCTGGTCCCCCCATGCAGAAGTTCTCTCCTGGTTCCAACGCCAGCTTCCCCATCTCCTCCGTGGTGCCAAGGCCAGTCTGCCCAAGAAAGAGGGGCTCACTGCTGTTCAAACTCCTGAGGAAGTTCTCCAGTTTGTCCCCTTTGATGTAAACGTCATCATCAGCTCTCATAAACCATTCGTATTTGTCCAAGTAGTGGTCATGCATGTATTTGAGCATCATGAAAGATTTCTTCTGGGGTGGGTAAGAGTCATCTACACCTGGAAGCGGCACGATGGGGATGGGAATAGAGGTGTCCGAGCCTTCGCTGGAGAAGAATTCAACCTTGCCAGGAATGGTTTTGGACCACGTTCTAGATTGAAAAAGACAATAAGGACTAATTAAGTACACAAACCCAGGCAGGCAGAGTGTGCTAGAGAGACCACTCGAAGGAACTACAGCTCATCTGCTTTACACATTCTCTCTTTAAACTCCTTGAAGGGTTATTTTTTCCCCACGCAAACGAGGACATTCACATGGTGCACAGAGCAATTGGTATAACACACAACAACGTGACGTGACAAGCATCTGAGCATCGTTCTTGCAGCTGTATCTGATGGAAAAATAATGAAATAATAGTAGCTCACAAGTGGCAGGCAGGCTTTCTTAAGCACACTCAGTCTAACAGCTATTGGTCACAAGATACAGGGTGGAGCAATTCACACACAACTGGATTTCATGCCTCCAAAGCTCCTCTGCAAGTTAATCAGCATCAAAACTGCCTCCCAAACACCCTGAGCCCCCCCAAAAGCTCCAATGTGCATTCAGAATACTGACTTCCAAAGACCAAAGACTAAAGAGATGCAAATTTCATATGAACTTGTGAGGAATCAACACCCTGTGGGAAACCAACCAAACAGCGACTTCTTCAGATGCTACGTGGAGAAGCAGGCAGGGTTTTGACAGAGGTAAAATGCTCCTGCCTGTTGACAGCCAGAGAAGAACATGGCAGCAACACCAACCTCAACCTGTCAGCCCACAGCATTAGAGGACTTGTAGAAAAGTAGTCCTAAGAGATACGGGCAAAACATGTCATCCCAACAGATGACCTGCTGCTACCAGCACCTCCAGCAGCTTTCTGTACACTTCACCATGGATTTTAGTAGAGGAATATCACCAAAAAGGAGCCTTTTCTGTGCTAAGCAGCACAGCAACGACATCTGCTCCACACCTTCCATGCTCCTCTCTGCCAAATCCAACCCATCTGCGTGGGCAAACTGGGTCACTTATACTGCAGGAAGAGATGTAGGATGATTCCTCAAGGCAGACTGCAGAACACTTAAACCTCCTCCAGGGAGGATTTTCAATCATGTAACTGTTACAGCCTTGCCCTACAAATTATGAATTTTAAGCTTTCACTACCATTTTTTCTCAAATTCTACCTGGGAAAAAGCAGAGTCCAGGTATCCTTCACAGAAAACTATTTTCATTGGTAAAAAAACAGGTTTTGCCCTTTTTTGTACAGGGGGAGAATATTTTCTAATCATGTTTGGCAACAATGCTCAGAATAGAACCGATATTCAAAGCTCAGTGTGAAAACACCATCAAGGTAAAGGACACAGTATTGCCTCAATGCATCACTGGCACTTTGACCAGATGCCTCTCAACATGGGTTTCTTGCCAAAATCAGAGCAGGTTTGGGGGAGTACAGACCATCTGAAATTCAAAATCTCCAGAATTTTCTATCATATAAAGCCTGAAATGTAAAAATATTTCAGAGTAATTATTCCTTAAGTTCCACTGGAAATAAGTAATGAAATACTAATGAAAAGGTATTTCATTCGAATTAACTAAACATCAGCTTTGACACCTCACAAGTTACACAGTAACTCAGCTTCATGTAATGAGTATCACCCAATTACTTTAAAAGCTTTGTCTTCTGGGTTTCTTACTGCCAGGGGTAGTGTTTCATAGGAAAAATTTAGATCCCAGCTTCCCAGGAAAGCACAGAATGAAGTCAATGGAAACATTCCTGTTGACTTCACAACAGAGGTGACGAGGTCTTTAATCATCAGTGATGCAATTAATGCACAGTACCGGTGGCTATAAAGTCACATCCTGTTAAAGCATCAAAACCTGCCCGTTTTAAAATGAGACACACTCTGAACCTGAACTTTCACTATTGAGGAAGTTCTGCTGGTTTGGGTTTTTTTCCTGACACCCACATTCCACATACAAATCATCTGTTCTTAAATTAAAAGACCACAGGGTAAATTGTTCTTCCCATCCCAACTCCCAGTCTAAGCTTAAAAGTCTTCTTCATTAAAGGTACTCAAATTTTAATCTCAGAGAAAGAAAAAGCAGAAGAAGCTACTGAGAAATGCAGCTCCTCTTATCCACTGCAACCAGTTTCCAGCACAGCTCCAGGTAGACCCAGGACACTTTCTAGAAAATCACCAGGTGAAGTTAGAAGCTGAAGTCTTATGGAAATTTCTCCTTATTAGCTGTTTTTATTCAAAAGCAAACAATGAATTTTCAGAGTTACTCTCTATATCCTGAAAGATCTGCCTTTCTAATGATTACAAACTATGGACAATGCAGGATGTCTTCTCTCACTCCAAGGAGCTTGAGCTCCTTTCTGGACTCTTGAGGAGTCCAGAGTCTTCAACTCTTTTTTTTTTCTATTTTTCATGTCACCAGCCCTTCTGTTGGTCCCCAGTTTAAATTGACTCCCTGCTCCTCAGCCAGGTTCCCTCATCTCAAGTATTGTCAAGAGAACAGTTCCCATTCACTGGAGAGGGAACAAAACACGTGTACATCCATAAACCCTGGCACACTTGATTCCCAGTCCTCCTATTGCATTAAACCTCTCAACTCAAAGCCAGTTTGACTCTCATCTCTCCATGGATTTGGGCCATAATTTAAGTTTCATACTAAAACAGGAGGAAACCAGAGACATATCCCTGCATACGTGGGGGGCACAACACAGATGGAAAGACCATGCCCCAATGATAACCACAACCCAAGGATAAGTGTGCAACTTGGATCAGCACCACGTTACTTCAGCCTTGGGATCTCACATTGAGCGTGGCCCAGCCCAGCTTGACTAAACCTTTGTTCACTTCCTGCAAGGATGCAATTTCTAGGATGAGAGAAGACTCGCCATGTCATTTGTGACTGTGGCTTTCAGCGTTTGTTTGAACTCAGACAGACAAAATACGCTCCCACATCAAAAAAAAAACTGTCTGAGCGCTTGTGTCAAGGCAAGAGCTGCTCAGCAGAGGCTGAGACAATGGGAGTCACCCTGTGCTGCTCCTCAGGGCTGAGCCACAGCTCAGTGCTCCACACAGCCCCTTTTCGGGGAGAGAATACAGGACAGTTTGCTCAGGAAAGGTGTTGTTACACCCAGCCATCGAAGCCAGACCACAGACAAACCCTAAGTACATCAGACCACAGTTATCAACAGAACCACGGACTGGTAATGCAGGGATGAATTCTGATCAAAGCTACTTTTAATTATTTTTTTGTTTTATCTGACACTGCAAGGAATCAGACCTGGCTCAGCCACAAGTGATTCTGCAGATTAGTGTGTTAACAGCTACATTTCCTGCCAGTCTTCCCATCTCCAGGCCAGTTTAGCGTGTCAGCTCTCAGGTTATGGGCAGCAACCTGACCCCTTCAGCTCCTCAGACACAGAGCCCTTGTCTCTACACCTTCCTACTCCTATGGCCCCACCAGCACCACTCCCACCAGCTCCCACCTGGTCAAGGCTTCCCCAGCATAAGACTTGCAGATCGTATCTGTAAATAAATTGTATGTTTGATATTTAAAAAAAAAGAAAAAAAAAGGAAAATAATTTTAGCAAAACTTGACACCCTCCTTCCCTCCATGAGGGCTCCCCGACACCCTCAGCTGTTTAAAGGAAATGTGGTCACATCATTTCTGCCAACAGTTTCCTGCATCTACTCCTGCAAAGACCACCTCCCCTGCAGCCATCGCTGGTGGCCTCAGCCAACTAACTTCATGCTGTCTCGACTGTCCAGAGAGAAATATCAGGTTCTGAATACAACTGATACGTGTACTGAACCAGTCATTGAAAAACCCAGCAACTGAACTGCTCTGACAGATCCCAACCTTATCTCCTCCGTGTAATCTGAATCTGCTGGGTGAGACAGGAGGATGTGCAGGAATCAGGACAGCAAGGCTCTCTATTACCTTCCCCGGGAGCAGCGCTGAAAGCACGCACGAGGGTGGGTGACCTGGTTTCTCTCAACACACAGAGTGTATAACTCCAACAAACTAGAAGGCAGCATTGACAAGAGAATCCAAGTGCAATTTAAACAAACAGATACAGAGAAAAATTAAGTAATGCTTCCTTAGGAGAAACCTCAGTTAGGACTGCTCCGATATTGGTGATTAACAAGTCAATTTTATCATCCCTTAATTGCTTTTGTGCATGGGACATCCTACGTGTATCTAATCTCAGCAAGCCACCAGCAAACTGGGTGCAAAGATTCTGTCTCATCTGGTGCAGGTATCCATGCCAGACAGAAAACCACGTGCATAAAGAGTGATTAAAAAACCCCAGTATTTTCTAAAAATCAACCACTACTATAGTCATCAAATGTTGTTGTAATTTCTTCATTTATAAAGAAGTTAAAAATGCATTGCTTGGAGCAGGAGAAACACAAATCTGGAATGTTTTCTCTGCAGTTTCCAGTGTTGATTATTTATTTGTATTACCTTGCTTTGTTCTCAGCTCTGCAGACTGGGCAGAAGCACAGCCAGTGGTGTTATGCAGACAGTGCTCCCTTTGTAGAGACCCAAACTGGAGACGATTACAAAAAAATTTCTTTGGTTTTTGTCTGCAGCTTGGGAACCTCCCTCAGAGGAGATCAGAGAAACCATTTAAAGTTTTGAGAAACAGTCGTTTTGTATAACTACCCTGAAGAAAATCGTAATTTGTGAAGAACCCAGCAAGATAACAGACCTAAAAGACTGATTTCTTGAATACACGGTTCAGCTAAATTTCATGTTGAATTAGAGCTAGTTTTGCATAACTGTTCTTCATGGTCCCATCTTTCTAACAACGCTTGCTACAGGGGAAGCAACGAACCACAGTTTAGCCAGAACGGAGCGTGGAAACCAGCATGCTGCTCCTGCACGTGGTGCTGCAGATGATCATCACGAGAGGTCAGGAAAACAAGCTGTTTTTTAAAATTTCCAGATAGGTTTAATAGAGTTTGTCAGTGAGATGTGGATTACAGAATTCAGATTTTGAGGGAGTGTTCCTTTCAATTTTTTGCAGGACAGCCTGGTATCTAACTTCAATAGAGAACCCAAGCAGCTTCCACAGCTCCTTATAGAGTTGTC